AATTTGAATTCTATGGTTATTTTTATTTTTTTTATGCTATCCTATGATGGAAGGCAACCAATGATCATGAGTAGGTTGTGCTTTGGGCTTGGCAATCCTAGGGTGTGCTAGTTATCTTGGTTCCTTGGCTCTTGGGATGCTGGTGGATTCTCGGTTTGGGCTTGGCTGCTCGATTTTTGGCTGTGTTTTTGGGAGCTGTTATGTTTCAACTCATTTATGTTGAGCGGTTGTTTTTCAGCTCATTATTATGGATAGTTATCCTCCTTTTTAGCTCATTATGTGGAGTGGTTCTTGCTCTTTCCCCTCCCCTGTGGCCCTTCGGTTTCCCCCGCCTGGCTCCTGTCCCGTGGCTGGTTCTTCTCCCCTGGCCGCCCATTCCTGTCCCCTTTGTGGCTCTTCAGGTGTTGCTTCTGGGCCGCCTGCTAGCCTTTCATTTCCCATGTTCTGATTGGATCGGTTGGAGGTGGTTTTGGCTGTTTGGCTGCCCCTTTTCTCCTACATATATATGAGATGTTTTGGTGCATAAAAGGGTTGTTGATTGTTGAGCTAAGTTGTCTAAAAACCTGAGGGTTTCTTCTTTGGAAAGCTTGCGAGCTTGTTCCGACTCTCTTCTCCTCTCTACAACTTCGTCTTGGGCTTCTTATCCCTTTCTTCTCTCCGCAAGTTCCACTCCACTTGTATCTTTCTTCTTGAGTCATTGGAGCTGTTGGTTGGTTGATTTGGTAGCATTTTGCCGGAGGAATTTTGGTGGATGTTGGCCCAAGTAGCTGTGGTGGACCTTTGGTTTGCATGCCCTTAAGCACATCTTTTATATTGCCTACTATTTCGATTTTATGTGAGGTGACCGCTAGTCGGTTGTTCTGAGGGTAGCTGTTTTTATTTTAATTTTGTTTTGTTTGTTTGGCTTTCGTTTGTTTTGAAGTTTGTTTGGATGTTGGCATTCTAAGTTTTGAATCGAGTTATGTTTTACTAGTCCTGGTGTTCTCCCCTTGTGGTTTTTTCTATCTAATTGTCTGCATCAAGTTTGGTATCAGAGTCTATGTTGGTAAATTTCTAGGTTATTTGTTTCTTTGCTTTAGGTGTTTAAAGAAATGAAAAAAGACAAAAATAGTGAATCAGTTGTGGGTGAAAATGAGGATGAAGATCCTGAATTCCAAATCCCTCTGGGCAGATGGATTCCATCACAAAGAGATTCTACCGATCCACTACAAAATGAAATATACAAGCTTTAAATGAAAATGCATGTATGTACGGAAAATTATGTAAGAAAAAGAAACGTCTGCAAGACCAATTCAAGCAAGAAAGATAAATTATTTTGAAATATGCCGCCAAGATTCAAGAATTGGATACGGATCTTTCGTCTCGTCATGATAAATCTAAAGCATCCTCATCAGGAGATGAGCAATTTCAACCGGGAAAGAATCTGATGTAGGCAGGGGGGGCAACTCTTATGCTAAAGTTTTGGGCTGAGGTTGGCTTCTCGGTTTGGACTTGGTTACTCGATTTTTTGCTGTTTGTGGAGAGTTGCAAGGCTCCAACTCATTAATGCTGAGATTAATGAGCAAATTCAGGTTCATTCCCCCCTCTTTTCCCTTATCTGTGACCCTTCGGTTTTCCCCCACCTGGCTCTTCCAGTTGTTGGTTCTTCTCCCCGGGCTACCTGTTCCGGTTCCCTGTGGTGCATGTTCCTGTTCCCCTGGTGGCCCTTCGGCTGCTGCTCCTGGACAGCCTGCTGGCCTTCTGTTTCCCTTGCCCTGATTGATTCGGTTGGAGGTGGTTTTGGGCTATTTAACTACCTCTTTTCTCCTATATATATGAGATGTTTTGGTGCTTAAAAAGAGATATTATGAACTAATTTTTGGAGCCAAAAACCTGAGGGTTTTCTTGGAAAATCTTGCGAGCTTGTTCCACTTCCTTTTCTCTTCTTCTTGGGAAAGCTTGCGATCTTGTCCTCTCTTCGACTTCGTCTCGGGCTTCTTACCTATTTCTTCTCTCCGCAGGTGTCCACTTCATTTGTATCTTTCTTCTCAATGAATGAAAAGCTTCTTTAGGTGTTATTTTTATAGTCAATTGTAAGGTTTAGATTGTGTCTTGCTATGTTTATGAGTTTAAAGTGTTATTATGTCTTTTACTTCAAGTTATAAGGAACGTTGTTGTTTCTTTTTGTGACCAAGGGTTCTACTAATTTTGGCAATCTTTTTTATTGCATTATATTTCAATGGGGGTTCAGAAGTTTTATGGAAGGGATAAAGTGTGTAAACTGCTAAAATCCTTGTATGGATTAAAGCAGTCTCCAAGACCGTGGTTTGGAAGATTCTCAAAGCATGTAAAAGGCCATGGTTTTAAACAATGTCAAGCAGATCATACCATGTTTATGAAGCAGTAAGAAAGAGACAAGGTAGCAGTACTAATTGCATATATGGATGACATCATATCCTTACTGGAAATGATATAGAGGAAATAATGAAGATCAAAAAGGATTTATCCAAGGAGTTTGAAGTTAAAGATCTAGGATCACTTAGATACTTCCTTGGTATAGAGGTGGCTCAATCAAGCATAGGCATATTTATTTCCCAACGCAAGTATACCTTAGACCTACTGAAGATATTGGGTTTGCTATAAGTATATAGTAAGCCAATATATGAGTAATCCTATGAAGGAGCACATGAAGGCAGTATATCAAATCTTGAGATATTTCAAGAACACTCCAGGAAAAGGGGCTATTTTTCAAGAAAAATGAAGATAGGAAATTGATATTTTATTTTGATGCCAATTGGGCAGGAAGCCTGGTTGACAATCTATCGACCACAGGATATTGTTCATTTGTGTGGGGGAACCTAGTGACATGGAGGAGCAAGAAATAATATGTTGTTTCCAGAAGCAGTGCAGAATCTGAACTGAGAGCATTAGCAATTACTATTTTTGAAGGTATTTGGATCAAAGTATTGATTAAACTGGGAATAAAGATTGAAGGCACGATAAAGTTGAAATGTGACAATCAAGCCACTATCAGTATTGCCAAGGATCCAATACATCATGACAGAATAAAACATGTTACTATTGATAGACACTTTATATCTGAGAAAATAGAGAACTCAGAAATTGAAGTAGTATATATCCCAACTCATGAACAACTTGCCAATTTTCTAACAAAGGCACTACCGGGCTCTCTACTTGATAAGTTTGTTTGCAAGTTAAGATCGCACAACCTGTACAACCCAACTTGAGGGACAGTGTTGAATCACACCGCTAAGAGGAGTTCACGTCAGCAATCCGTGAGCAGCAATCTGAGGGTTACAGTTGGAGATCCGAGGGCAGCTATTTGAGAGCTATAGTTGGAGATCCGTGGGCAATAATCTGAGGGTTGCAATTGGAGATATGTGGAATATGATTATTATAATTAATTAAATTAAATATTTTTCCTTTTTCTATTTATTCTTCTAGAATGTCTATATATGTAATGATTCCAAAAAATAGAATAGAATTTGAATTTCCCTCTAAACAAATTCTTCAATAATTTCTATTTGGAATACCATTAGAAACTTGAAACTAAGAAAACTTTAAGATTAATTGAAAGTCACATATGTAGATCAATAACAAAATTGTTAAAAAAGAATAATAAAAGAAAAGTAAAAATCAATATAGTAATCAAGTCTCAAGGTTATGCAACTAGATAACCTCCCCGTATAATTTTTAGTCTCCCACCGGGCAAAGGAGTAGACTATCAACCATACGTTTATTCATAAATCATTTGTTTGTCTTTTTTTATATGCCTAAGACTCCTTTTTATTATCACGAAGTCCACCTAAATTTTCCTATTCACTCATATTGTCAGCCAGCAAAAGTTGCGCTAGACAAAGAAACAAAAATCTCAAATCCAGCTAGCCCGCAAAATCTGCAAACTGCAAATCCCCACACTAAGCAGCTGCAAATAGCTAATGGAATATATTAATGCAGAGACAACAGACTGCACAAACCAATCCACTGCTAAAGCAAGCTGTCACAGCTAGAGAGCCCAAAAAATTCAAGAACAAAACATAAAAGCATCCAATGAAGAACCATCTACACTCATTCCATTGCCAAAGCAAACCCTTAGGTTATCAATACAAATCATCCTCCATTATAGGCATGTTTTCTTAAAAGTAAAAGAAAAAGAATTCTAAGCATAACCTGCTAGTGAAATAAAACACTAAAATGACTATAAAAAATGCATCTCTAATATTGCTCGTATTAAAGCTATCAACTTGCATTTTATGCTTATAAACTTTAAATTTCCATAAGTGCGGAAATTCTGGACCCATTCAAAGCTGCGGACAACAGGCATGCACTCAGTTGGAAAGAAAAATGGTTGCCAGAGTTTTGGAATTCAATCGAAAAGGTGATGGAGCGGACAACAGTCATGGAAGATATGAAAGCAGTTGTTACAGATCAGAAATTTAGACAGAGAGCAGCAGTCAAACCAGACAGTTATGGAAATTGGACCAGTTGGATCCTGCAGATTTTACTGCATTGATTCGCTTTTGCACACCCAATCCAGTCCAGGAAATCCTGCCACATGCTAAATGAGAGGCCCTGACTAGTTAGTTACTTATTTCCATAGGAAGATAAATAATATTATTTATTTACTTTTTATTTTTACTATTTTCCTTTTCCACTCACTCGATCAGTCACTCTTTAGTCCTCAACTTGTACTATGTATCCTCTGTATATATAGTTTAATTGTGCTTTGCTCATTTACATAATAATTAAAAGTATTTTTCTTCTATGTTTTCAACAACAATAAATACAAGATTTGGGCCATGTAAAACATAACAAACTTCTCAGCAGGAATGAAAGCACGGGAAGATTTTCCACATTAAAAAAAATATATACTAAAGGTTAAAAAGATTTTGCAGAGTTTAGATTATTCACTTGACCAATGGCAAAAGGCTAAGAGCACGTGTAACCAAATAGGTACAAACATTTCAAAAGAATGAACAAAAGCAAGCTTAAGAAGTTACCTAAGAAGAAATCGCCTCAAAAATGGATCACCCAATACCTCAATCCAAATTGGATGCAGTTCATCAGATGCCAGTAAAGCATTTTCCCAGTCATTTAATGAAGATGAAAATAACTTTTCAGCATTGTTATAAGTTTCCTGAAATGAATGGCTCAAATCAGCACTAAAAAAAGTACCATGGAAGATTACACACTCGAATCAAAGTAAACATTAGCAGACCTCAGGTAACAATTGGTTATTCCAAAATTACTAAATTTTAATTAAAAAAAATTACCGCTTCCTTACGTGGTACAAATATTAGGACTGAAAATTTATTTTTCACAAAAACTCAACCAAAAAGTATTTTAGCAAAACATTAGATAGTTTTTTCCAATAACTAATGATTAATTAAGACATGGTAAAATTCCATAGATTTGTAAACATAGGTATAGATCAAGATCAACAATCTTAATTTTTTTAATTCTGGAAGCCCATGTTTGAAATCAAATTGGATGAAAAAGTTTTAATGTCTATTAATAGAATAAGAGCATATATCACTTATTGTTGTGTGCATGGTAGATACTTGCCTTTTCCATATTAATGCCAGACACACCCAGCAAGATGCAGAAAGCTTGAACCGGAGCTGTTAGGAACATAGTGAATTGGCTAATATTTTGATTGCGGGAAGACTCACTAGCAGCTCCCATGGCTGGAGACTGAGATGTTGGAGAGAGTAACATAGCCATGGTCTCTCCTTTCTCTTCCCCATGAATGACCTGTAAAATATCCATTATTCACCTCAAAAAAGTTGTCAAACCATAATATTTACAATTCTGTTAAATATTTGATCAATGACAACCCGTAACTCATATTAAGATGTATCGCTAAAACAAAATACTATATCAAATTGAACTTTCCAGTTTCATTTTGTGAAAATATTTCCCTAATTTTCCCCAGTGCTCCGCCCTCTTTCTTCTTTAATGCTTACTACCTCATGGATTTCTGACTTCCACCCTCTTCCTTAGTTTACCGGCCACTTCATGGATCTGTGAGAAGCCTGCTACAAACTCACCAATCCGTGGGGCTATACTAATTATTCGTAGTTATTTACATTCTCTACTTTTTTATATTTCCTATTAGAAGTTCTCATAGGATTGTATAAATTCTATAAACATTGGAATGAAACATTGCAATAAACTATTCTTCAATTATTTTCATACTATAAGAGCTCTATAAATTTTATTTATAAGAGTCCTCTACTCTTTCTTTCCTTCCGGATTTCCTATAAGAATCTTTTACTACCCCTATGAACAAACTGCTTCCACAATTTCCTCTCCATGAATAACAATAACAGTACTTAAATTCCAGATGTCTTAAGTTCCATTAGGACTAAGGGATTTGATCCAGATCAAATAAAAAGGTTACAAAACATCCATTCATATCTGTTAAATGAACATAACTATCTAAAGCAATTGCAATTGGTCTACATGTTCTTGGAGGGAAGGAAAAATTAAGCTATTTACCTAGCACTGAACTGAAGCAAAGATCCCATGTTTAAAGTTTTGGATGAACATGACTCTTTGGAGCTATTTTAGTTATAGAACTTTATGGCTCTAGAGATAAGTGATATGCGCCTATTACTCCATTCGACAAAGGAAATATATGATATGATAAGTCGAGCATATTCCAAAGTTCATAATGCCGCACAAATCTATGAAATTAAGACCAAAATCTCATCCACAAAGCAAAGCAAGCAAGATGATCCATCACAGAACATGCCAACCTATTGCAAAGCCTATGGAAATAAATGGCTTATTTTCAATGCATCCAAATAAAATATAGCAAAGATACAGCTCTGCTTTAAAGGTTTGTTGAAAAAGGCTAGATATATGATTTCTTTGTTAGATTAAATATTGAATTTGATGCTTTAAGTGTATATATTATCAAAAGAAAGGATTTTTCATCCCTAAAAAAATTCATTGCCATTATACAAAGTGTAGGAAAAAAAAAGGTGAGTCATGATCCCCAACAACCTAATGGAGGGCTTAACCTTTAATATCAAAGGCTGACAACATCAAGAGCTTGGACTCAAAGCCCTCTCCTATTAAGGATCACAAACAACCAAACCTAGCATAGATTATCAATAGAGATAATATATGGTGCACATATTGCAAGAAGGCTCATCCTACAAATGAAAGATGCTAGAAACTTTTTGGCAAACCATAAAATCAAAACTGGTTGAGACAAATCAAGACAGATAGGCAAAACATGAAACATATGCATAGATAATATATGTGGAAAAAGATGACACCAAATAATCACCCACTATGTTCCACAATAAGGAAATATAAAGGATAAAAAACTTGTTATGCTCATTGGAGAAAACATCTACTGCAAATACTTTCTCATGCCTTTAAAGTCACAGAGATGCTCATTTATAGTTCCTATATCATTGATTCACAAGCTAAATATCATTTCATCAACTCCTCTCGTAAATTTATTTTATATACCATTATTCATAACAACAAAAAATAATCATTGCTAATGGATTTTGTCAACCATGGATAGTAAAACGATATTCACATAAGCAAATATCTTACATCTGAAATGTTAACTAAATTACTTACCAGCCTGTATTATGTTGAGTTTTATCATTCATATTGTGATTTTCATGAATACTGTAAGAGTACACTTGAACTTGTTTAAAAAAGATATAATTTCTATGATAATGACTACCACCTTGAAAAATCAAATAATTAAGAAAACTCCATACAACCTTTAGTATTATGTCTTCTTTCATAAATCCAATAAAAAAATAATTTGGCTTCAACATCTACATCTTGTTCAACCATCCTTTCTTATTCTAAAAACTATGTTTCTTCATAAATAAAAGAAATCAATATTAAAGAAATGTTTGTGAACCAGCAAAACACATGCATCAATTTAACAATGAGTGACATAAGAACTCTTGTTATTTTTTCTCTCATTCATAAATGCCAATTAGGTACCATTCTGTACACCTAACATCTCTAGAGCTTAATGGTTTATCTTTTATTGATACTTGTCTCACACTCTCAGGTATCATAGACTGTTCTACAAAAGATAAAAAAGATGTGAGAGACACATTTTTCACCATTTACAATATGATCAAAAATAAATTTAACATTGAAATAAAAATTTGATCTAACAATTCCAATAATTATTTTAACCACTCTCTCATGCTTACAAGAGAAATGAATAACGCATAAGTCCTCTTACATGTATACACTACAACAAAATAAAGTTGTTGGACAAAAAAATGGACACATACTTGCTATCATAATGACTACTTTTTTTCAGAAGAATGCCCTAGAAAATTATTCGGGAAAAGCAATTTTAATGACTACTCACGTCATAAATGGGTTATATACGAGGGTTCTTGGGTTCAAAAGTCCTATATAAATCCAAACCAATTTTTTCCTCACTTCAACGCCTAAAATAACTCGTTTTCAAAATATTTGTAATGTTGTCTTTGATCACACACATTTAAAAAAAAAAAAAAAAAGATTGATCCACCTCAAATTAAATGTATTCATTGGCTATTCTCTCACACGGAAGAGATACAAAAATTACGAACCCTCCCGGGAGAAAGATGTATATGTTCATTGATGTAAGTAAAGAAGATTATTACATTATTATTACTTACTATCATGAAGAAATATCATTCACAAATGATAAAGATATTTTTTTCTCATCAGAATCGCCCTTTCTTACCACTCATTCCAGCAAACAACTCTATCTCATAATCAATCACCCTTATTTAAATCAAGCCTATATCTGAATCACTTTCTACTTGGCCAACATAGCTTACTAGGGAAGAAAAACATCAATTCCTCAATCTATGCAAGTTCAAGCATTAAAAAACAGAATAAATCCGTCATTGAATCTACTAAAGGAACTATTGAACCAACAACTAAATGGAAACTCAGTAGCATACTTTTCTAAGAAAGATATACCCTTTTTGTTATAAGCAAACTGCACTTCAAGAAAGTGTTTTGGTAGTCTTAGAACTATAGTGACAAGCCGACCAAACATTTTAACAAATAATGCATAGCCTCAAAAATGCCCTTTTGATCACTCTTAATAAGATGACATCAACATAGGCAGTCAATATGATTGAGCTTGATGGTGTATGCTTGATAAAGATGGAATGATCTATAGTGCTACTGCATAGGCTCATCTCAATATGTAATTGGCAAATCAAACACGAAGGCTTCCATAAATGAAATTATTTAGAAAACATTCTTGTGCAACATACCCAAAGGTTCTTCCATATAAACTTTCACATTAAGATAGTTATAGAGGAAGACAAACCTACATCCATTTGTAGTAGAGCACAGCCTTGATTGATAGCCATAGATACGAGAATACAAAAAATTAAGCCTAACAATGGTAAAAAGAGTGTTAACCTATGTGACCTCCCTTGGCCAACAATCAATTATTTGATTGATGGAACAATAAGGATAAAAGTTTACTATGAACATCCATCATCAATCAATTAATTTAACCCCAAAATGGGGGAAACCAAATCCATATGTGACAATTGCATATATCACGTATGTCAACATCCATATCCTATTTTCACAAAAGATTTTGTAATGCTTCCCTAAATGCCTTGGGAATATATATAGATGACAAGAAGGCATATGAACAAAACAAATCAAAAAGTAGTAAACTCTACAAGCTTTCACCACCAATCATCTTTCTCGAACTAAGATCTTGAAAGACACAATAAGAGGGATAAAATGTTGTTGAAAAATTATGAGTCATTGTAAGACTGAACAAATCAATTCATTAAAAATTATGGGACATAAAATATCGAAAAGAGTTTGAGATTGGGAAAGATGTACAATGTTCTTTCCAGAAAAGGGAGGGGGAACCATTGGCAACAAAAGGCAGATGGCGGCAAAAAAAACATGTGGAGATATGAAATTAATTAGTGATTAACCATCATGTAAGACGAGGCACTTGAATCTAAAACTCAAGAAACATCTAAAAAGATAATTGCAGCTAATCCATAAGAAGAGATCGCATGGGAGGTAGAGTTGTCTAAGATTGTTGAAGAAGTCTATAATAGTCTTCCTGAGAAAAAATAACTGATCCAAAGGAGGCACTTAAAGGATCAAGCAGAGTTGGACCAGCTGTGGAAGCAATGCTAAGCAACAAAGGGGTAACCAAATTTCTCTCGGGAACATTCAAGATAATGATTGGTAAAACTATAATGAGTGTAGGGAAAAAGGTATTACATTCATGTTTGCTACTAGTCCTATTGCCACATCCACAACACCAACCCTGGATACAATAGCTAAAGCTGATAATCAGGAGTTGAAACGATAGCATTGAAGAGTGCAGCGACTCAAAGAACACAGGATAGAGCAATCAAAATTATAGGGATTAAAGAGTTGTCAGTAACTGAAATTGCTTATCCTGCAAGGAAGAATAACCACCAAAGATAAAATTGGTAATAAAAATTTCTGTAATCTGTTTCTACCAAATAGTTGGGTCAGAAGTGACGGGGCAATATTGAAGTAGCTTGTCCCATTTGCCTCTAAAAATATTATAGTATCCTTATATTTGCATATAATTTTTTTGGAGAGAAAATATCTCAAATTAAATAGTGTAAATACTGCAGATGACATTTTCCTAAACGAATGCAAAGCAAAGTCCCACATCTTCTTGATTGAGTCTTGATATTTAAGGTAATTAAAAATTAAGTATATTGAGCAACCAGTAAAAAAGGCGTAATCGAATGCTTTCCATCTGAAAAACTTCAGTTTATTGATATCTAGAGATGATGCATCAAGGTGGAGTTTATCATAACTGACAATAAAGTACAAGGCCCTCGACCACCAAACATAATTGCTACCATTGAGTTTGATGTAAGGAATGATGTTGGACGAGGTTTTTGAGTCCTTGAAACTAGATTGACAAGCCATGACATCATTTGTGAGAGCCATAGAATTTGAGAGCTAATTCAAATATATAAGAAATGGAGATGTAGCATGTACAAAGTGGTTGTGCTCTAAGTAGCAAGCGAGCATCAACAAGAGAAATGGATAATCATAATAGAGCGAAGCAAACAGATGTGCTGACACTAGGGAGGGGGAGGGTCATTGCGATCACAAGCATGAACGAGATCAAGAGGGAAGGCATCTAGCAAATTGAGTGATTGAACAGAAAAGTACAAGGGCTAGCATGAGCATATGGAAAGCATGAAGGCAAGAGGTAAGATCGAGCGTGTGCATGTGGATTGTAGGCAAAAGATAAGCTTGGGACACAAGCAGATATTAAGGAAGGAGTTGACAAGGGAATAGGAGATGGGATGGCTATGGCCTAATACCATGTTGACGAAAAAGGATTTTGGGTCTTAATAATTAGAAACCTCCCTTATTTATAGTAGTAGAATGAGTACTATGTTCTAGGGAATACTCAAATAAACATAAATCACTCTCCAAATATCAAGCATTTTCTATTTTAATGTTCCCTTAGGTTAACCTAGGAGATGAAATACCTCTGTTTTAAAGCATATTAGTAAGCCTAGCAAGTAATTTTCAAGATCATATGCAACATTGTTTTTACATATCTTAAGGGAGGAACAAAATAAGTATGCTTTCGAAAACTTTTTGTTTTCACGACTGGGTGATGTTTTGCAAGAAAAGGAGGGTGGGGAGGGGAAGTTGATAAACCTGCCTTGAATGCATGACTGTTATTACTGTCAATAATGAGAAAAAGCGGCTTTCTTGTAAATGGAATCAAGTCGCAAGGATGCAAGCTGTTGGAACCTGCATAAACCAACATAAATTCATTAGCAATGTGAAAAAGCAGGTTATACTGAAATGACAACAAGACTTGCACGCAAATAGACTCCATCGCAAAAGTTAATGTCTAAACAGAAAATTATTATCATTTTGTTCAGAAATCATACAAGTAAATAACTGAATAATAGTGCATACAAACACTCTTGTATTCAATCTCCATAAATTAAATGCATAGTTTTCCGATTTCCTCAAGCATAATTAAAAAATTGGTTTCAAGTTTGAGAGATGAACATTAAAACTACCAGATACAAATTTTCTGAAAAGAAACAACAATACAAAAGGAAAAGAGAGACTATGCAATGACCCAAAAATCACTAAGAGAATTTAAAGTTAAATAAGGATAATTAATGGTTGATTAAGGCTAGTTAAGAAACTCATCCAGATAAAATTTATCTGAATGCAAAGTACGATGAAATAAATAATAAACAACTCCTATTGATGTTAAAAAATATTTAAGAAAAAGTTGAAGCATATCAAAGTAAAAACTTGTAATTACAGCATTTGATACGCAAGATGTAAGTCTAAAAACTAGCCATTACAACATATAATATGCAAGATGCAAGTGCTCTCATAATAATTATCATAATTCTTATGTATATAACTTATACTAACTAATAATTACACGTAAACAATTATATTTAGATAATGGTTTGGGTGGCTAGGACCACACAAGAGAAAGCGGGGGGAGAGAGAGAGATGAGAAGAGAATATGAAAACCACAGGAAATCAACAGAGAGAGACTGAGAGATGGAGAAACGAGGTGATCAACTTTGTCAACAGCTTGAAATCGAAACAAAAAGAGGAGATTTAAAAAAAAAACAGAGAGGGCAAAGTAGACGCCTTTGTTTCTGCGAGCACCAGCCCAAGGAGAGAGAGCATATGAGAGAAAGGAGATTGTTTGGAAAACGTGCCTTTAATTCCTCGTGAGCCTAACCACAAGAAAGCTTCTTCTTTGTCATTGTAGCTCTCCTTGCTCTGCGAGGAAGTATCAAATGGATTTTTGATCGGAGAGACTTGTGGAGAGGTCATACCAGCATCTGTAGAGTCCCCTCTTTGTTTCTCAGCATCAACAGAACACTTAGAACTTAACAGCATAGGATAATTTTCTCCAATTTCTCCTACAAGGTTTTCACAAATGCATAAAATTCTAAATTAGGAATGAATATACATCAAAAGAAAGGCAAGCATGGTGTGACCTGAAGCTGAAAGATAAATTAGCAGAATTCCATCAGGAGGTAGCTCTTCACATATGGTGGCAAGAACCTATCCCATAAATGATGACAATAATATTGAATGGATTAGATTAAGAAGTATACATAATAGGCAGCAATACTAGAGGTAATGCAAATCATGTTCCAAAGTGGAAGAATCCAATTTTTGCAGTAGAGGACAGGTTTAACCGTATGCCCTACTTTATATACCATGTGCTGGCGAAGGCTCGCTATAGACAAATAAGCAAACAGAAAAACAGTACCAATGTATGTGAAACTTGTCTACAGAAAAGTAAATGTTTCAATTTACATGAATTGTTGAAAATAGAATGTAAAGGCCCCTGATAATCTAATATCATCTTAAATAATAAAATGCAAGCAAATAGTTTGATGATCATTAAATCATTCAAAAAAATAGAGAGCATTTATGAACAGTGCACGGCATAGATAATCCATATATAAGAAACTTCTAAATTATTTTTAAAAGGAAAAAGGCATATTTAAATGCTGGATGGAAAGGTCTCTCAAATACACCCAATGGAACAATATAAACAAATTTAACTAGTAAGTATTTGAATAATTCCATGGGAACTGATTGTAGTCAGCATGTTCTTTAGAAAAAGAACCATTATCAACATCAAAACTAATCTCAATTCCCCTCCATCTTATGACCTTATGGGTTGTAGGGCAGACACTGATTCCATCTAAGGGCCATATCTGGATTGCTTTAAATATTATGTATGTAAATCCCAAAATAAATTAGGACTGAACACCTACATTCATTCAACCTAAACTTTTTTTGTTGCCTTTTCACTATTATCTCTTTTTTTTTTTTTTTTCATACCATAAGTGACATTTTGCACAATAAGCAGAAAATTTTCTTAAAATATTGATCAACCCATTTTTAATTTGATTCACATGGTTACGTAATTGATATTTTACTTCAATTGAACTAAGCATCGGATGTGAATTTCCTAAAGCTACTTTGCAGTATTGATTTGGTATTTGTCCTTGTTGACCTTCTTATATATTCCAATATTAATTTGAGTGCCTGCAACAAGAACGATGGTCGACTAATGCAACTCCACGCAAAGCTGGTTCGAAATGGCTCAATTACAACCAAAATCACAAGAGCACCGCCCGTTCACAAAATGGACTGCACTGATGCGTCAAGATTGATGAAAATATTAAAGAAGCATCCTCCATGACCAACTCGATGGAATACAATGAAAACGCCAGTCTACGGACATGACATTATGAAATCATTTGAACGTCATTTGTTCGCAAAATGGTTTACACAATTAATTTTGAAACGTTGAAATTACCCAAAAAAAAATCCCCCGTGTTTGATTCAAATGAATGAAATTGAAAATTATGGACTATGAATGTGACATTGCGCGAAATTATCCAAACTTCATTCCTTCATGAAACATATTACGCCAACACGTCCGAAACACCAAAATTACCTGGAAATGACCCATATTGTCACACAGTCAAAATGTAAGATTTTCCTATGCTCGAGTCAATCTACAATGTATATATATAACCTATATCCCAACAAAATGTTGCCCTTAACCCTAAAGTTTTGGTGTGAACAGCACTATAACGATAAATCAAACATTGTGTCTATCCCTTAATTCGACTGGCAGCACCAAAAAAAATGTAATAACCTAATCGATCCAACCCCCTCTCGCTTTTACTCTCACGCCCTCTCTCTCCCCATATTCCTCTCACTACCATCATCTGTGTTTTCACACTCTAAATACAGAGAAACTTATGCACCTTCTCTCTTCCTTTCCTCTCTTTCTCCTATTGTTGTCGAAAGGTCGTCTACAAAAGAGCTCCTCATCCAAAGGGATGCACTCCTCATAACGATGATTGAATAGGAAGCGCATATATGCCTTTCAACTCCCGCAGTGTAATGGCCCGCTCCTCCAAACTAATCCAACGCTTATTAGTGACAGGATCCCAAAACTTAATCACTCATATGACCCAGAAAGGATGAATGCTTACAAAACTAAGTAACTAGACATGTATATACATATATATATATATATACATACATATATATATATGTATGTATATACATATATATGTACATACATATATATATATGTATATACATACATATATATATGTATATACATGTCTAGTTACTTAGTTTTGTAAGCATTCATCCTTTCTGGGTCATATGAGTGATTAAGTTTTGGGATCCTGTCACTAATAAGCGTTGGATTAGTTTGGAGGAGCGGGCCATTACACTGCGGGAGTTGAAAGGCATATATGCGCTTCCTATTCAATCATCGTTATGAGGAGTGCATCCCTTTGGATGAGGAGCTCTTTTGTAGACGACCTTTCGACAACAATAGGAGAAAGAGAGGAAAGGAAGAGAGAAGGTGCATAAGTTTCTCTGTATTTAGAGTGTGAAAACACAGATGGTAGTGAGAGGAATATGGGGAGAGAGAGGGCGTGAGAGTAAAAGCGAGAGGGGGTTGGATTAAATTATGTGACTCCCTTGCAACAATCAAATGATTTGATGATGGACAATAAGGATAAGAAAGTTTACTATTGAACATCCCATCATCAATAATTTAACCCCAAAATGGGGAAAACCAAATCATATGTTGACAATTGTCCTATATCAGTATGTCACATCCATATCTATTTCTCACAAGATTTGTATGCTTCCCTAAATGCCTTGGGAAGTATTATATAGATGACAAGAAGGCATATGAACAAACAATCAAAAGTAGCAACTCTACACAGCTTTCCCACCAATCATCTTTCTGAACTAAGATCTTAAAGACACAATAAGAGGGATAAAAATGTTGTTGAAAAATTATGAGTCATGTAAGACTGAACAAATCAATTCATAAAAAATTATGGACATAAATATGAAAAGAGTTTGAGATTGGGAAAATGTTACAATGTTCTTCCAGAAAGAGGGGGAACCTTTGGAACAAAAGGGAGAGGCGCAAAAAAAACATGTGGAGTATGAAATTAATTAGTGATTAAACCATCATGTAAGACGAGGCACTTGAATCTAAAACCAAGAAACTCTAAAAAGATAATTGCAGCTAATCCATAAGAGAAACGCTGGGAGTAGAGTTGTATAAGATTGTGAAGAAGTCTATATTAGTACTTCCTGAGAAAAAATAACTGATCCAGTGGAGGCACTTAAGGATCAAGCAGAGTTGGACAAGCTGTGGAAGCAATGCTAAGCAACAAAGGGGTAACCAAATTTTCTCTCGGGAACATTCAAGATAATGATTGTAAACTTATGTGTAGGGAAAAAGGTATTACATTCATGTTGCTACTAGTCGCTATGCCACATCCACAACACCAACCCCTGATTACAATAGCTAAAGCTGATAATCAGGAGTTGAACGTAGCATTGAAGAGTGCAGCGACTCAAGAATAACAAGGATAGAGCAATTCAAATTATATGGAATTAAAGATTTGGTCAGTAACTCGAAATTGCTTATCCTGCAGGAAGAATAAACACCAAGATAAAATTGTAATAAAAATTTCTGTATTGTTTCTACCAAATAGTTGGGTCAAAGTGACGGACGCAAATATTGAAGTAACTTGTTCCCATTTTTGGCGCATCTAAAACTATTTAGTTCCTTAATATTTTGAATATAATTCTTTGAGAGAATTCTCAAATTAAATAGTGTAAATACTGCAGATGACATTATCAACGATTGCAAAGCAAAGTCCCACATCTTTCTTGATTGAGTCTTGATATTTAAGGTAATTAAAAATTAGTATATTGAGACAACCAGTAAAAAAGGCGTATCGAGCTTCCATCTAAAAACTTCAGTGTATTGATATCTAGAGATGATGCATAAGTGGAGTTTAATCAATAACTGACAATAAAGTGACAAGGCCCTCGACACCAAAATAATTGCTACCATTGAGTTTGATGTAGGAATGTGTTGGACGAGGTGTTGAGTCCTTTGAAAATAGAATTGACAAAGCCCCATGACATCATTGTGAGAGCCATAGAATTGAGAGCTAATTCAATATATAAGAAACTGGAGATGTAGCATGTACCAAAGTGGTTTGCCTAAGTAGCAAGCGAGCATCACAGAGAACAGGATAATCAATATTAGAGCGCAGCAAACAGTGTGCTGACACTAGGAGGGGAGGTTCATTGCGATCACAAGCATGAACGAGATCAAGAGGGAGGCATCTAGCAAATTTGAGTCGACTTGAGCAGAAAAGTACAAGGGCTGCATGAGCATCATGGAAAGCATGAAGGCAAGAGGTCAAGAGTCGAGCGTGTTGCATGTGGATTGTAGGCAAAATAAGATTGGGACACAAGCAGAATTAAGAAGGAGTCGACAAGGGATTAGGATGATGGTGATGGCTTGGTCCTAATACCATGTGGGGATGACGAAAAAAGATTTTAGGTCCTTAATATAGAAACCTCCCTTATTTATAGTAAGTAGAATGAGTTCTATGTTTAGGGAATATCAAATAAACATAAATCACTCTCCAAATATCAAGCATTTTCTATTTTAATGTTCCCTTAGGTTAACCCAGTAGATAATACCTCTTTTTAAAGCATATTAGTAAACCTAGCAAGTAATTTTCAAGATCATATTGCAACATTGTTTTCAATATCTTAAGGGAGGAACAAACTTAGTATGCTTTCGAAAACTTTTTTGTTTTCACGACGGGTGATGTTTTGCAGAAAAGGAGGGTGGGAGGGGCGGAACGGGGCTTTGATAACTGCCTTGAATGCATACTGTTATTACTGTCGAAATAATGAGAAAACAGCGGCTTTCTTGCTAATGGATCAGTCGCAAGGATGCAAGCTGTTGGAACCTGCATAAACCAACATAAATCATTAGCAATGTGAAAAAGCAGGTTATACTATATGACAAGCACAAGACTGCACGCAAAATAGACTCCTCGCAAAGGTTTTATGTCATAAACAGAATTATTATTTTGTTTGAGATAAATACAGGTAATAACTAGATAATTAGTGCTACCAAACACTCTATGTTATTCAATCTCATAAATTATAATGGCATATGTTTTCAC